AATCAGATAATAACTACAAAAATTAAATAAAAAATAGTTGATGAAAAACTAGTCGTCAAAACCTTTGGTATTCATGAACTGAATTTTTAATATCGGAGTTATAACGAAAAATAATTACTCCTTCGCTTGTCTCACTCTTGTGCACGTAAGAGTCTCAATGTCTCACTTTAACTAAAAAGTTAAATAGCACTAGCATACAATACTTTTAAAAATTTAGTCAATATGAGATTGAGTTTCCACATAAAAAACACTCTTTTGTTTAAAATATTCTAACACAATATTATTTTCCTTGTTTCTTTGCATGCAGCATACCACCATATGTGTTTGATAAGATCATTATGGAATTTATTATTTTGGCACATCAAAATAATGCACTTTGTTTTTCTTTGTTATTTAATGAATAAATTGTAATTCTTCAAAATATAGAATATCAAGTTAAGAAAATTTTATTTCAAAATATATTTCAAAAGCGCCGTAAATATGTAGAATTTCATACACATGAAAGAAACTTCTTTTAATTGAAACCCATGTCGCAATAAAATATCATTACATTATCACAGAGAGAGAGAGAGAGAGAGTCAGCGGGTCCGCTTCAGAAACCCAACGAAGGATTTGTTTTATTCAAAAACTGTAGTATCCTACACATCCCTATATTCCTACGTAAACCGACAACCACGTTAGCTTGCACATGCACCCATTTGCATATACACGACGAAACAAACATAGATAAGATTATTCGGATTAAAAAATAGGCTAAATATCATGGGGACCCTTGAGGTTTGTTAGTATTATACGGGCATACCATTGGATTTTAAAAATACTATTGAAATCCCTGAAAAACATAAATCCGTCTAGTGGATAATCTATGTTTAAAGATCGTTAAAAAAGCTAACAGAAATATAAAGTTAACAAATTATTTTTAGTGACGGTCGTTAAACAAACTAACGGAAACATAACATCAACCGATTATTTTTACTGATTTCCAAGATTACCTTTAAGTAGTCAAAATAAGCTTCGGGGGACAAGAATGTCACTCAAATGATTTTAAACACATATTTATATCCCTGCACCACTATATAAACACTTTCTTCTTTTTGTGAAGTTTTTGCCCCATATTTTATATTTTGTGGCATTTCTCTCTCTGCAAGTTTAGTCTCACGTTTTGTGGGGTACTATGTGTAGTGGAAAATTAAAAGAAGTTGTCTACGTGTTTATGTCAAAGATAATCAAAGAGAATGAGTAAGATAAACGTACAAGATAGAAAGAACTCGAGCAACCTGTTAATGAGGGGACTAATTAATTGGGCGGAAGGTAGGTTGAGTGAAAATGCTTTCACTAGCCAAGTAGAAATCTTATCCTCTCTAGTGGGCAAGCATTGTGGGTTTTGATAGCACAATGCTAGGGTAAGTCGGGTTGCCCGCCGTGACCCTCACCATTCGAGTGAACCCACAATTGCCTCGATCACGGAGATACCAGTGGCCACTCACCAAGAGCCACGTGTCTTTACATTAACTAGGCAGATGTGACGTTTTCCCCCAAATGCAGTCTAGACATGGCTTTGCGGAGGGTGCGACAACGGAGGTGCAAGCGGGCTCCCAAGATCCATGACTACGACTGGTTATTGCGGGACCATGTCTGCGATACCCCCAGCACGCTCCTACGTGGTCTTTTGTTTCCCTTTCTGGACCTTTTTTCGAGACCCTTGTCGAGGTGCCCGAAAAAGGAAACTCATATAGTTTAAGGTTCTTCAACCATTAATCTACATGTCTTATTATCTCATTTGTTAATTTAGACCAATAACTTCAGTTTACCTTATGAGTTTCTTTGGATCCCAATCAAGCGCATCCTAGTGGACACTGAGTCATACACTAGTAGGCCTGCTTGAGGAGACTAAATCTTTGAGACCTTGCACTAGGCCGAAGTTGATAATCATGCTTCATCCACCCCCGTTGCTCAGTTCTCCATTGATGAGGGTCATACTGCCCTATCTCTAGTTAGGGACTCCTCCTCTTAGTCCAATGGGCCAGTTGAACAATGGTGTCTAGTAGATTGATGTTACCACTCCTGCACTAGGGGAGGTGAGTCTTGTCGAGATTTTCTTAGACTTCTGCGGCTCCACTTTTGTCCACCCTTAATAAATGGTCCATTTTGCCACTTTCAATACAATGGGGATGTGTTTTGCTCTATCTTGATGTTGCGCCAAGGGGGCATCGCACATGGGGAGGTGTCACATAATGGGGCGTTGCACCTTGGTTGCCATGCCTAGGAGCGTCGCATCTTGGTTACCATTCTTGGGGGCTTTGCACCTGGGTGCTAGCACTATTGTTCGTACCCACTCCTGCTGGATCTTATTGGTCACCACTGCCATATAAGGTATCAACTCTTGCTAGTTGTCCCTTCATGACTTGGACATGTATGCTAAATTTATGGGGTACTACACCATATCTTCCCCTTTTATCTCTCTCTCTCTCCCTTAGTAGCATCCTAAATATTCTTTTTTTGGTTTAACAGTTAGGGATGTCTAGACCAACTTACGCGCACCTCGATTAATCCCTTCCCCAATCTAGTCAAACATAAGTCATCGCACAATTTTTTTATTCTTCCTATCTTGTTTGATTAGAAATACATACTCTCTCTCCTTACACGCACAGAGTGTTAGGGTTTGGTGTTCATCTAGTTTGCAACCAAATTGGGTCTCATGTGCATTTAAAAAACCAGAATGGTGAATTTACTAATTTTGAATGAGCATGAAATTCCACACTTCATATTCACCTATTTTGCCTTAAAATTGTAAAAAAAAAAAGTGTCTTAACATTCAGGAAAGTACACATAACGTGCATACTACTAACCAAAGTCTAAAACATGAACAATTTTTGAACAATCTTCTATTGATAAAGCAACCAATTAGTGTATTTGGGCAGTCACAAACCTTTTAAACCTCGAATGCACACTAAATGTAACTTGGGTCTTATTCTAGATGATAGCAATCGAAGATTTAGGGGTTTTTAAAATGCTCCAGGGTTTATATTTTGTGGCTAAAGGGTTTGTATTTTAGGGGTTGGTGTCAATATATGGTTTACAATGTGAGATCTCTTAGATTTTAGTTAGAGGTTTCCAAAACAGGATTCATAAGTATATGATTTGTGACTGTAGGGACTATATATCGAGAAAATATTCAATGCAATAGTAATATCATGTCAGCTTTGTTAGGTGGCATTAATATCCAATAATATTTTATCAAATAAGTAAATAGACTCCACACAATCAATTATTATCTTTTCATGTATTACAATAACTATTGAACTCTTCTTTTATGTAAGACACTTTGCTTATTTGATATTTTATTATTGAATAGTGATACCATGTGATAATGCTGACATAATATCAGCATTGCATGTGATAAATATATCAGCGGTTGACGTCAATATATGGTTTATACTGTGAGACCATTTAAAGTTGAGATTTATGGATTATGAAACCTGGGGTTCTACAACTCTAAGAGTGATTAGGGTCTGATTTCTACGAATATCCAATTTCAAAGTGAGATCTTTCGCATTTCATTAAGAATCAAATGAATGACTAACTATGAACCTTTTTCAAATTTCACCAAGATCCCTTTCCCTCCCCCTCTCTCTCTCTCTTCGACACACAAACACACACACAAAATGAATGAGGGATGTGAAGAAGTGGTGTAAATGACAGAGTTTTGTTATCCACAAATTTTTCAAAGGATTTTAACGTCTCTTTGTTATTTTGTTTTGATATTCCTGACGTTGGAATTTGCTTTTCATTCAATAATTTTAATAAAATTATATCATCAAGTAAATAAATAAAGTCAATTTTTTTGGTCCAAATAACATTACTTTTTGTGAACCAAGTTTGACAATTAGGGTCTTAGTGTCATTTAAAGGGGTGTATGTGTAAAATTGGAAAAATTGGGGGGTGGAATGGTTTGGTTTGGTTTTGTGTGTCGTGTTTTGCGTGTGATGTTTACCCAAAAGTACATTGTTCTCTTCCACCATAATGTTCCGGTGGCTCCCCAACTCCCCCCCACTCTCTCTCTCTCCCTCTCACATTTCCTGAAACAAACTAAGGTTCATCGAAGGGGTTCTCTTTTGATATAGAATGATCTTGGAGTGGGTCAGCTTCTCTCTTGCTCACTGGCATCAACTATTATCTGATGCCTTTTTAATTAATCTTCTGCAAAATTCAGGACCTCCCTTGTTCTAGTTCAGACTTTAGACACTTGTTAAGGTTTCTCTTCGTATCATCTAATAATTCCCCTTAAAAAGTTGCTTTTTACCCATCTGGATTTTGCTGAGTAATCAATGCCATTGTTTTCTCCTCTTTCATAGCTGTTGCCGACCATGAGTTCCAAAAATTTATCCATAATTTATACACTTACTACATTTGGGTCTTGCAGACAAATATTATTTTCCTATCTGTAATGTGTATGTAACAAATACAGCAATGACAAACCCTCTTTCAGTTGTTAGTCCTCTTTATTTTGGGGGCATTTCCCTCTCTCTCTCTCCACCCCTGTCCCATCCCCATTTCTTCACTACTTCTCCAACCGAAAGCTTGAATATTTCAGTCTGAGTTGTTGAAGTTTTCTTCTTATCCTGCTATGGGGATTTACTAAAAATTCTTCTTTGGTACGAAATCTTAAAAGGCTCAGTGTGCGCTACGCGAAGTTCTGACCTTGTGATCTGTCTGGGTTGTACTGCCAATGTGAATTTCCTTTTTGTTTGCTCTTGTATGATTGAAGCCTTTTTGAATTTCCTTTCCGTACAAGAATCCATATCTGTGATCACTGTTCCGAGTCTGGTTGTTAGTAAAAATACATTGAGAATCCTAATTCTGTTCTTCTCAACCTGGTAATTAGTTAAGAAAAAGCCCTAATTCTCCAATCCTTTGCCAGATTTCTTATTTTCACACAGAAAATGTTGGATTTTTCCATCCGGGTTTCCTCAGAGTGATGTAAATTGAAGGTCTCAAGAATGGCTACATTGGTCCCTGGTGTTCTATTGAAGCTTCTACAACACATGAATACAGATGTGAAGATTGCTGGAGAGCACAGGTCGTCTTTGTTGCAAGTAGTCAGCATTGTCCCTGCACTAGCAGGCGGTGAACTCTTTCCCAACCAAGGTTTTTACCTCAAGGTATCAGATTCTTCTCATGCCACATATGTCTCTCTCCCTGATGAACATGATGATCTCATTCTTAGTGATAAAATTCAGTTAGGCCAGTTCATTCATGTTGAAAGGCTTGAATCAGCATCACCTGTCCCCATTCTTCGGGGGGTTAGGCCGGTCCCGGGGCGACACCCTTGTGTGGGTAGCCCTGAAGACATAGTTGCAACTCACTCTCTAGGATTCCTCAATACCAATGCTGATTCATCCATTGGTTCAAAATCCTTGGACAAAACCAAATTGCCTTCAAAAGCACCGAACGATAGTCATAGTGGGGCAAAGGATAATAAATTCACACCTGTGAGATCAAATGGTGGTGGTAAAGATGGTCAAATGGACAAGAAAACACCAGTATTGACTAGATCCAAATCTCAATTATCAAAACTGGCTCTGAATTCAGTAGAGAGAAAGGAATCTTTTGTGAAATCAAAGTCTTCGAGTTCAAGGTCGATCCCTTCATCCCCAACAAGTTGTTATTCATTGCCAACTTCTTTTGAGAAATTTGCTAATGGGATTAAGCAGCAGGCAAAGATTAAGGGGTTGGATAGGTTGGAAAAGGCAACATCCAAAGTGGGGTTGGGGGAAAAGGCCAGTTCTGTTCGTGGGACAAGTCCAACTACAAGGCGGTCACCAGTGGGAAGCTCAATGAGGAATTTGGTTCGTGAGATTGAGCTGGGACCTAAGGCTCTGAGAAAAAGCTGGGAAGGGAATATGGATGTGAAGAGTAGAGATAGTCCAAAGCTGAGGATACCCAAGCATGATTTGAAGCATGAAGCTCGGAGTACTTCTGTAAGTTTTTGTTTGTAGTCCTAATTATCATTGTTGAATCTTTAAATTTAGTGAGAATAAGTTCTATTCGATAGTATTGGAGATTATCTGCTTGTTGCATGGGTAATATTGTGATCTTGGAGTGTTGTCGGATTGGAATTCAGTTGATTCCATGTTTTTTTGTTGTCTTGTCATTTCTACTTGCTTAGTGGATGGTCACAATATTTTAGGCAACATGTTTTTGATATTGAGATGAACAACTCGATTAGCACTCATTGCGGGCTGAAGTGGAGGTTTGTGGGATCTAATAACTGAACTATTGCAGTCTCTTCATTTAGTATGAATGCATGAATGGCGTTGATAGTTAAATCCTTTAGCTGTATTTCCTTATTATTGCAATTGTCCAAAGGATTGTGTCCGTAAATCAGTGAGACTGTTGTTTTCTCTTTTGACCAATAGTCTGGTTTTTCCCTTCTAATAAATTTGTATTTGTCAGGTTCCAAGAAAATCAACAAGTGACAGGTTGCCATCTAAAGAGGAGAATAAGGTTAATATATCTGCCAAGTCTTCTAAAGAGGAAAACAAGGTTCAGATATCTAACAAGAAAGTTAGTGCTAATGGATCATCAGCTGATACTGAGAAGTCTACTAAGCAAATAACTACTGTCGGAAAGAAATTATCTGGGGAAGTTGCTAATCATGGATTTGCAGGAAACATGGTCAAGGTTTCTTTCAGCAATAGGAAATTAACAGATGGAAGTGTCTTGTGGGCTTCACTCCCATCTTCTCTTGCAAAGCTGGGAAAGGTGAGACTGTATATTGTCTTGGAAACTGACACTTCTGATTGGCTCTTAACAGATTTTGGGGGTTGTTCACATATTGTCGTCTCAGCCTTTAGGCTGTTTTTCTTGGCTTATATTTTGTGGGAATAGCCTAGAGATTTACATACACAGTTTAAGAAATTTCTACTCAGATATGTAGGATCAAAAGTGCTGTAAATTTGATAGATCAGTGTTGATAATTATTCCATCATTTTTGGAAATGGGACACCTCATTTATTCAGAATAGTGGGTTCTTATAGATTTTTGGTTCCCTTGCAGTAGTAGCTTGGTTATAGGTGATGAGTAGCTATTCTCTGTCACCTAGATTTTTTTTTTAATGGATTATGAAATTTTTTTACTGCATAAGGGTAGACCTTCTCATCTACTGTACATTTTGCATGCCAAGTCTCACCAAAATTTTCATTAACTTCGGAACATATAATAAGTACTGAAATACTCATTTCTTTGAATTTTCTCATATCTCACTATTACAGGAAGTTTTAAAGCATAGAGATGCTGCGCAAACAGCTGCCATAGAGGCAATGCAAGAGGCTTCAGCCACAGAAAGCTTACTTAGATGTTTAAGGTATTTCTTTCCTAAGAAAATTAATTTTTGAAAAGTACACAAATTCTTTCATGTTGAAATTTTCAATGGTGTAACATTTTTTTAATTTTAAAATAATCTAAGAGTACTGTGAAATGGGTATTCACTGTTTAGCAGAAAATATGGCGTTTCATAGAGCAGAATGGAGAAACATGATTCATGTAGCCGACTCCTAGTTAGGATAAAGAGTTAAAGACTTTGTTGAATTGAATTGAGTTAAACAATCTCATGGTATCTCCTGACAGCATGGTTGGATATACCATGGTAGTTCTAACTAAAAACACAGATCTAGTGTGTCATGTGCATTTGAACAGTTGTGGAAAACTTCTGCTCATCCGTTGTTTTTTCGGCATTGCTCAAATTATGCACATGAAAATTAACATTTCTAAGTTGGCATATATGGAAGTAGGCACTAGAGGAATTGAAGAGAGTATTAGGTGGAAAAAGTGAATATATCTTGTTATGATAGCATGTAATGTGGAGGTTCTTCTATCTGATTGATAATATTAAATACTCTTTGCTTAATTTCACCACCAAGTAGTTGGTTGTGGTATCAAGTGTGTGGGGTTGCATACCAAATTCTGACATCTGGTAGTGGTCGTAATAGAATCCGATCTCAGTTAGAGTTTAAAAAGTTAAGCACGGGCAATACTCGGGTTGAAGGGTTAGATTGGAGCTTGGGTTTTGGTTGAGCTCAGGTTAAGGGTTTCATAGTTGAGGTTGAGCACTTGAGCCCATATTGGACACCTTACAACCTGCTGGAGTTGCACCTCTAGTTACTTACCGAAAAAAAAAAAAAGGAGTTGCACCTCTAGTTATAGGAACGACCCTGTTCTGTTTTTGATATCTTTTGCTTTTGGTATTCAATTTGTAGTTCAAAAACAGTTTCCTAATGTGTGCTGTGCCTGTGATATAATTTGCACTATATTCAAAGTGCTCCATCAACTTGCATTCCTTCAATAACCAAGTTATGCACGTCATCAAGGTGATTATCATACTTGGGATTTCCCCACATCCCTGTTTTAAGTTTACATTAATCGGTAATGAACTTAACAGTATATTGTGTTTTGGCTAATCCTCTAACCTTTATCTGTTTTTCTTAACTTCCTTGGTTGGTCCTTAATCCACTATCCAAATGGTCCACCTAGAACCTTTACAATGACAGTTTTACAAGATTCACTAACAACCTAACGAATGCAGCCTACATATCACCTACGATTTTTTGGAAGTTTTTCCTAGGCTAGCTTGGCAACATCCTAGAGAGCCCTCACATGGCACCCAACTCGGATGTGTACTATGTTTTGTGCTTTGGTTCACATAGAACCAACTTGAATGCACCCCTTCAAGATTTCTTGTAGATTTTTTACCTCGGCCCACCTGCAACCTACAACCAAAAACACTCTACACTTCCACAATTAATTGTCAGCTAACTTAGAGGCTCACCTTGAGCCAAGCTGTTCTAAAGTACGGAGACAAGTAGTGCGGTGTGAGATGTGTCTAGCAACATACAGATGAATACTATATTATCTCCCAGAAAAATGTCCACTACTGCACTAATGAGATCTTCAAGATTCTTGAGCTACAGAGCTAGTAAGGTCTGTAGATGATGAGGTAAAGGTCAAATGAACACTGAAGGCTTCTGAAATCCATTTAAATTGTTCACCAAAGCATATGTATGATTTAGTCCATCAAATTTTCATTTCAAATGGATGAAAACTATGTATTGGCATCAGGTGCAACGGCTAGCTTTGTCAAAACCTATCAGCCCTAGTTGACCAGCCCCTAGTCAACTAGGTCCAATACCTCGTTGATTAGGCTCTCTTCCCTACGTAGTTGCAAGCTATAGGGGAACATGTTAGCCATATATATGGGACTATGAGTTATTCTGATTTAGATTTCCTATGGCTTTAGGTTTGTCCCTTGAAACTTGAAGGCCTCTAATTGTTGATAATCTTGTCATCCTTGAAGTCTTCAAGCTGGAAGTTGGGATCTGCTCTTCTTATGATAACTATTTTAAGTAGAAAAGAGAGAGAGAGAGAGAGAGAGAGAGAGAGAGATCTGTTTTTGACCCCTAAATGATGGTGGTAGAGAGAAATATGGGAAACAGAGCCCACATGATGAAGTACAAGGCCCCCTTAATGTCTTATGTGTGTAGGGCTCTCTCACTTGCCTTTTTATGCGGCCATGTGCTGAAGAGGCAACATGAAATTTTTCCATGTCCATCAACAGTCAATGAGCAATTGCTTTTTGGGGACAAGCAGTTGGTGATGTACTAGTCTTTAACTCTTTCCTGTTTTGGGAGGGAGGGGGTGTTAAGCCATGAAGACCCATGTTTTCGCCTGTTATTTGAGAACATTACTTTAAAATAATTTTTATTGCATATCACTTAATCACAGAAACATAAAAATACATCTTGTTATAGATGAGTCCTATCTGTGTACCTGCCTTATTTTTTGGGATTTTGTGATATTTCTATTGTGCTGTACCCATGCCATGTCCCATACCCATATCCCATATCCCATATCCAGAATATGTTCTTCCTTGGTATATTTATCTTGTTTCAATGCCTTCCAACTTGTTTGAATGGTTCAATATATAGGATCCATTATTAGGTCTGGAATCACTTGTAATTGGAACAACTTAGTGGCAAGCTTACTGTGTCATCCTCCCCTTTTGCAGAATATGAATTTTCTAGCTTGCTGTTATATTAGTGGAGTTTTTCCAATATTATTCTAGCCTATGATTACATGAATGTTTGAAGTGAAAAGGAAATCTCAACATGTTCTTTCAGACAAATTTATGTGCAATATGTGAATATTTTCTGGCCTAATATTATAGAAAATGTTTAGGATTCATTTTGACGTCATTTTCCTCATACCTCCAATCCATTTGATATGCTATTTCCCCCAGTTGATATGCTACCAGAGGAGGGACCTTAGTAAAATAGAATGGGGGTGCAAGATTTTTGTTAAGCTGATTTGATTGTGTTTTCCATTGTGAATTATCGTTCTTTACGCCAAGCACTTTGTTTGTGGCATTCCTAACCTAAACATGATGCATGCGAGATTCATTCTCTGTTTCATGATGTTTGCCTTGCTTAAGTGGAAGATCATTGAGGAGATGAGACTCTGAAAATGGTTTCTTGGCCTATAGTGATGTGTTTGTCATGCAGCATGAAAAATTTGGCACTATTTTCATAAACTCATTATTAATTTCTACTTGAGGATTATTGAAGTGAAGCATTTTATTACTTCTTATAAGTAAAGTGAGGTAGTTATCATTCAAGAGTACGTTAGGTTAGTTTAGCTTCCAAGGAGGGGAATGTCTCACAAAGCTTGCATTCCATATCATTGGTTGTGTTTACATAAGTTGGACTTGGAGGAAAAAACTTGGTCTCATGGATATTACTTCTTATAAGTAAATTGAGGTAGTTATCATTCAAGAGTACATTAGGTTAGTTTAGCTTCCAAGGAGGGGAATGTCTCACAAAGCTTGCATTCCATATCTTTGGTTGTGTTTACATAAGATGGACTTGGAGGAAAAAACTTAGTCTCATGGATTTTAGTATTGGCATAATTCTGTGTCATATAAAAGTAAAGAACGTGTAAGTCTAGGTTGAGATTATGAGTCGAAGACTTAAAGCCCACAGAAACTCGGTTATGAAAGAAGCTTGTTGAAGACTTCATCGGATTTCTTCACCGGATTAAGTTGGTAAGTTGACTTAGAGACCTAGTGAACCGTGGCTGGATTGTTTGATTTGTTTTTTAAAATGGATCTGATCTTAAATTACAATGTAATTGTAGTTGACCCAGAGATTTTATTAATCACAATTTTTTTTGAGCAGGGATTAAAATTGTGTTTCAAAATGGCAAGACGTTCTTGTTTCTAAGGATGTTGAAACATATTAGTGATTGAATGGATCAATATATCAATATGTTTTGGAATGTTTCTAAATGTTTCCTCCAATATTTTGAGGTTTTTCAAGATTTATGGTATATTTTGACCAATATTTTAAAAATGGTTCAAAAATAAATTCTTAAATGCTTATTCGTTTTCATTCTATTTTCAAAACATTTCTGTTTTCTAAGTAACAAAAAGAATGTACCGAAATGAATTTTGATCATTTGTTTTGATAGATATGTTTTTGAAAAATATATTTTGAAAAAAAAAAAATTAGGTGTTGATTACAATTGGAACTCAAGCAAGGCTGATGGTGCTTGAGGGACACTGCAAAAGCTCGGACCTAGAACTGATGTAGTTCACACTGGCTTTGCAGTGGCTTGGCTCGAGCGAGGTCAAGCATGCTAGAACGGCTACGGCACATCAGACTTTCGAAATTTGCTAATTTCTATAGTATTCCTAACAAACTCGAGTCTAGAGTATTTGGCCTACTTAAAAACATGACTTGGATGTTTGTGTGTGGAAAAACAGAGGAAAAGGGGTGTCTTTGATATTCATCGAGTCTGATAACACATCTTGTTAAGAGCTTGATAGATCTAGTGTTTTTCTTGATTGTGAGTTGTGTTCCTAGAACATATGTGGGTTGTCCTTCTTTGAGAATCACAAAGACCTAAATTTGAGAGTATTCATGAGAATTTCTTTTCTAGGGTTGACCCAAAACCTTAAGAGTTGTTCATTTATCTAAAGCAAAATCATTTGAGTTCACCTTGATTTCCGATGATGATCGAGGGTTTGTGGTTGGATAAGTCAACAAGCGTTTTAGGAGGGTCAAAAAAGCCGGGGCTGGACACAAGTTGAACGCGAGAGTTTGTCGGGAAGAGTACAAGACAGGTGGATAGCTTGCAGCTAATGCGTCTACTATGAATTGAGCATTGAGTTTGTACTGTTGATTTTAGTAATGGATTGGTTTGAGTTGGATTTGGTCACTTGATTTTTCACCCTAGGTGGGGTTTTCCATGTTAAAATTCATTGTGTTCATGTGTGGTTGATTTACTTTACTGGTTTGTGATTTGTTTTCCTTGATTCATGGTGTTTAATTGTTGATCTAATTATGACAAGTGATTGAATTGTTGATTTAGGTCAAAGTAAATTGAATTTATAATTGTTGTCGCATTAGACCTATTCACTCCCCTCTAGGTCTATTTGAGTTTACATTGACAATTGATCCACGTAGTCTTAGTAAATTTTCAGCAGATAGAGGAAATTCATATTAACAGCACTTTTATTAATGATACATCAGATACATTTTTAGGTCCTTTGGTAAATTCAGCATTCACAGTGAAATCAGCAATGCTGAGGACCATATATTTTTCTTGAAGTACTATGCAAGAGATGTCATAAAGAGGAGGAGATGCATCCTCCCTTTTTGTTGTTTTCCCATTGGTATGGCGAATCTAGAGATAAGATGGGAGAGGCTTTGCCTTAAAAACGTTGGAGGTTATATAATTTTGTTCTTATCATTGAATAGCAAGACATGCAGATACTGGTTTACTCTGAAAGTTTAGCTTGGAATTTGAAGAACTGTAGAGATGTTTCAAACTAAATTGGCACTGCGCTTCTATATAGCAAGATGTAGAAGGTTTATGTTCTTTTTTTCAAGTAGCACAAAGCTTATTACTCATTATTAACCACATTTCTTTCAAGACGCGTCCTGCAAAGCTAGCTGATTGATGTAGGAAGAAAATCTTTCTTGTTTCATATATGGACTAAATACATATTTGTTCCCTAAAGTATGTGTCTTTTGTTAATTTAGTCCATCATGGTTCAATTTTGGCAATTTTATTCTTGATATTTCTAATTTTGTTCAAGTAGCCCAATTTTTAACTCCCATTAAATTGGTCATAAATCTGGTCCATGTGCGGACCACATGAGGCGCAAACATAGAGTATCAATAAAAATTATTTCACCCATTAACTGCAGGGTCTATCTTGGTCACACACTCTCTCTTTAAAACAGGGGGAGTGTGGTGCCATTCTCCCCCTCCCTCCCTCCCTCCCCCCACCATGCTGCCATAGTCACCATCGCGGCTGCTCCAAACTCCTTGATTCTTCACCACAGCCATGTTCACTGTCCAATATGGCAAACCTGACTAGTTATACGCCTGGGCCGAATATCAATCTGGTGAAGACAGAAGTCAAAGGGTATCCACCTGTACAAGAAGTCATATATGAGACTCAAGTCCTTAAAATCCTCTTTTTGAACATCAGTTCATCCATTGTGATGGAGCTTTCGAACAGAAGTCAGGTCAGGATGCAACAGGAGTGGTAATATCCAAGGATCAAAATTTCGTTTCGAAGTACCGTTTCGGTCAACTCAAAAATAGAAACGTTTCGGAAACATTTCGAAAACGCAGAAAAAATATGGAAACGCATAGAAACACAAATGCAATCCATTAATTTATAAAGATATGCTAAATAATTTATTAATTCAACATATTTATTAGGTTAACATCAATTTATACAAGAATAAATTTAAATTTGAGGGAAAAAAAGGCTTGACTTGAGGTGAAAGTCACTTAAATTAGTTTCAAACACTTAATTTTTATGAAATAAACATATTTTTACATAATATTAAGGTCTTATAATACACATGAAATGCTAATGAGTACATACTTACATGGTTACATCTATTCCCCTGTGGAGTGTCGAGCAGGCTCATACATCGGTGTAGGCTCTGGGTAGCTACTTAGAGAAACTTCATATGTGACATAAATATGATGACAATAGTTACTCCAAATCATATTATTACGGTAATATAATCCAATTAATAATACTATTTTATTATAATACTAATAATGAAGGGTATCAAATTAAATTAATGATACTTATGTATACTTAAAAATTAAATGTAATTGCAGTGGGTATTAAATGTAATTACAGTAGGTATTAAATATAATTACATTAGGGTATTAAATGTAATTGTTAATACTTATAACAAAAAAAAAAGCAAAAAACTTGCACAACAGTGAGGTATTAAATATAATTACAGTATGTATTAAATATAATTATAATGGGTATTAAATATAATTATAGTAGGGTATTAAGTGTAATTATTTATTCTTATAACAAAAAAATTATAAAAGACAGAAGAGCAGTGGGAATTAAATGTAATTATAGTGGGATATTAAATATAATTATAGTGAGTATTAAATGTAATTACAGTGGGTATTAAATATAATTATAATGGGGTATTAAATGTAATTATTCATAATGAACCGAATATATCACTGTTTTGTCGAAACGGTTCGAAACAATGCCGTTTCGACCGAAACGGTCCGAAACAGTACCGTTTCGACCGAAACACTGGAATTTTGTGATTCAACTACTGTTTCGTTTCGGAGTGTTGAAATTCCGAAACGTTTCGGACGTTTCGGACGTGTCGACACGACATTTTGATCCTTGGTAATATCTGAAGGCCTGCTAGTAAAGGGCAGAGAGAGACTTGTTACTCCAGTTTCGGCACTCTTCTCTGAGGCTATTGCAGTTCGAGATGCCTATTGGATTGTACAAGATTGGAACTTGTCAGATAATTATGGAGAAGGATAATGGAGACTTGATGCTGTATAGTGGGTGGGGTTGAACTGAGGGGCCATACCGGGTAGGGTGGCAAGTGGCTGTGAGGATTTGTTTTGGTCCAAATTTGTGGATTGGGAGTTGAGGGAGGCTGCTGGGGATTTGTAGTGGGAGAGAGACTACAGTGGTTTGCGGGGTAGAAAGAGGAGAGAAAAGAGAGGCAAGGGTTGACCTATCTTCCAATATGACCATTAGTGGTTTGCACAATTGTCCCTCGTATACCCATCCCTCACTTGATTAGCACGTGATCAAATCTGTTACCATTAGTTAAAAAATGGACCAGTTAAACACAAATTAGAAATATCAAGGACACATTGCCAATACTCAAATATAAGGGACTAAATTGGCCAAAGAATTATAGTTTATGAACAAATGTTTTTTTATTCCTTATATAATAAGTGTTATCTGGTTCAAGTTTTTCCTAGCACAAATTGAGGATGTGAAAGCTTTCAAATTTAATGGCTATGATATCTTATTACTAAACCTCTTCAATTTTGGTGGTAATTGCTTAAGATTCATCAAATGAGATGACTAACAATACAATAAAAGCTTGAAGACAACTGTTATAGGAGGTGATGTGAAAGACTGAAACTCTTGGACAAAGCATCTTTGTGATTGATGGTTATAGACTTATAGTGATATTTTGACTTTGCCCTTATAAATACCGGTCTACAAAATACAGTTACTTTTTTAGGTTTATAAACTTATGAGTTTGCTAGAACAGAACATTAGGTGACGACATTCTCAGTTATTTTAGATAAGAAACAAAAACTGTCATTTCATAGAAAGTTGAATATGTACAAAATGGTGGATATGATGTCCAACCTAAGGACAAAAGAATAGAAGGTTACCATACAAAATTTATCAACTAGAAACAGCCTTCTAATTGTTTCATAGCAACACAAAAGAAATATCATGAATCTCATTAGATGATGCTGTCCATAAAGATGCCAATGAACTAATTATATCCCATAATAACTCCATGTTCTGTTATTTTCCTTCAAAAATTCTGTTATTCTCTCCATATACAACACCCAAATTATGGCCATTATAACACTGCTCAAAATAGTAGCCCTTTTACGATATTCTTAGATAAATCCTCCATATTGACCGAGTGTGTTACTATGGATAACAATATTTGTCATTTTTCACTTTTCTAATGTAAAGAATCTGCACTAGGTGAAGTATATTCTTCAATTTTTCACGTGAGTTGGGAGCTGTCCTCATGCTATGAAAATGGATGCAAAGACTTTATGTGCATAACCTCATAGTCTTCTCCTTTATTTCTTAGGCTCCTGTTGCATAATGGCCTTGAACATTGAATAGCAGTCATCTATTGATATGGTAGTTTAAGATTATTCTTCTGTTGGAAGTCATGACATTACAGCCCAGGCTTGGAATCTTTTCAAGTTGGGATTTTTGTGCCTCCTGACTCAGCTCCCTATCTCTTGGTTCTTTGTTGTAAACACCCATGAGGAGGTTGGCAGCAATTGCGACAATGTCATTGCAGCTATATACTAATTTCTTCAGAAGATTTTTCACATGAATATGGGAATCGTGCATAAAGCAAGATAGATGCATGCCATGTTGTATCTGAAGGTTAGACATAAGGGAGGGCTTGAATAAACTGTAATAGGGTTTTTTTTTGGGTGGCTACAATTTCTTTGACCACAAAATTTTCTGGCATGGATTAAGATATCAAGGTCAAAAGGATGGGTTTTTGGTTTTGTTGCTAGGATTTCTTGATTGAAATGGACCACAGAATATTCTGGCCTGATTTGATGTTGCTCTTGAAGAACTCAAGTGAATATATAATAAAGTTATTTATTGATCACATATTTGGCGAAGTATGTTCCCGTTTCAGGATGATGACTGGAAGTAAGCTTTCTATTAGAGATTCTGAGCAGAGTGAGGAGGATATGAACGATGGTTTTTTTTTTTTTTTAATACTTCAATGATGAAAGATTAATCTGGCAGAGTTTGATTGGCCACACTTTCCAATTTAAAGCTTTAGCCGAAGATTGAACCATGGGATAGGGTATAGGGTTGTCTCCTTTCCTCTATAGTGTGAGTTTGGAGCAGTAATGCTTCTTTTCTTCTTTGCCCTGTTGTGAGCAAATGAATCAGAAGTGGTCCAAGAAAAGATTTTCTTGGGTTTTTGCAGCTCTGAAGAGTTTGAAATTTCAGTCTCTACAAGTTTTGGGTTAAATTGTGAAGATTTTTGGAACTTAATGGCAGTTGTAGTATACAGGTTTCTAAAGTTTGAATTCGGGAAAGTTTAAAGCTCTTTCATATCGGATTGTTTTCTTGTGGATGAAACAGATGAGCATTTCTGATCAACATGCATTCCTTCATATCAGAGCGATTACTCCATAGTTCGTCTACACATATTTCTTTCGTTGTTTAAATGATGGGCCAGTAGATGCATCTCAAATTTGCTGATTTCTACATTTCCATGTTGCAGCATGTATTCTGAGCTAAGCTCCTCTGCAAAGGAAGATAATCCGCAGCCTGCTGTAGAGCAGTTCTTGAAGCTGCAAGCAAGCTTGAAGAATGCTCTTCTGGTTGCTGATTCCCTATCTAAAACTACCATAGCTGGTTCATCTCCAGCTCATGATGAAAAGCCATCAGAAGAAGCCATAAAGGTCACATCCGACAGACGTAAACAAGCAGCTTCTTGGATCCATGTCGCACTGGCCACCGATCTATCGTCCTTCACAGTATTTAGCAAACAAGCCACTTCAAGTCCAATTCCAGGTTCAACTCCAGCTCCAAGCACAAAGACTATAGCGGGACATCAACCTATATTAGTACTTGAGAACTCTAGTAAGAGTGTGTCAACAAAAGCGCAAGATAAAACTCGCCAGACAGTCAGCTCTAAGATTGTTTCTACAGGAACTCCACGCAGGCTAGCAGATGGACCAGCTGTTAGTCAGAAGCCAGGAGCTCCACCACCAACAGAGTGGGTCAGAGGAGATGATCTTGATGAGGCTGTGGACTTGGCTGAAATGTTGCGAATGGAATCCCAGGATTGGTTCCTAGGATTTGTCGAGAGATTCTTGGATGCTGAAGTGGACACCACAGCATTATCAGACAACGGTCAGATAGCAGGCATGTTGACTCAGCTCAAGAGTGTAAATGACTGGTTGGATGAGATTGGGTCTGTCAAGGATGAAGGAGAAACACTTCATATCTCTGCCGAGACAATTGACAGGATAAGGAAAAAGATTTACGAGTATCTTCTTACGCATGTTGAATCCGCGGCCGCTGCACTTGGTGGTGCTGCCTCACAGTCATCACCAACAACAGACACCAAAACAAGAAGATGACTTGATTGGTCCGCACAGCTTGTCCTCATGAAAAATCACATCTTACCATTCATATGTGCAGCTCTAGTGGTAATCAGCTCCTTAAACTGCCAAGTAGTTCAAGGAGCTCAGTATTTTCGAATATTGTATATAAATCCTGCAAAAGGGTTTAGGTATAGATGGAGTAATGGTTATTGAAAGTTAAAGGATTTATTTTTTCCAATTGTTCTTCTTTCTGAGCAGTTTTTACCCACAAGTATAGAGATCAATAGTGTTTGGAGTAGGGGAGCTGGCACTTCTCCTTGCCATGCATGAATGCGTGTTTTCCGACTCTGTATGAGGATCAGGTGTTATATGTAAGATAACATGTGTATTTTTTGGACTTAAAACATGAATATCTTTACATGTTGAGGGGGATGTTAATTACAAGGAAAAAAACACATGCCTTCATAATTGCTAAAGTGACATACTGCATTGTATTTTTCGGAAAGTGTGGAAGAAATTATTAAGTGAAACATACTCCTACTCTTGTCCTTCAGTGTTGTGTAAATAGGTCAAGCAACAAAGTATACATTACAGGAAAGTTCAAGTAAGCTAGAAGGATTAATAGAAAGTGCTTTTTTCTTTTACCATAGAGAATGACATGGAGGATTCTCATTCTAAAATTGAGTTGAAAACTGAGTTTAGCACTTAAAATGGAAGACATGTCTGAGACTTGAGGGTAGGGAGACTGAGTCTTTTTCTGATGTAGCCGGACACGGACTCCTTTGGGGAGAATTTCTGATACGGATCAATTGAGACTCTTAGCTTGGAATTCTTGAAGGATGCGCCTGTGATCACTTCCTTCCTTTTTGGGGTGGATTTGATTTACAGATTTTTAAATGTGAATATGCTGAGTGAATAGGGTACATCCAAGTGTAAGCGATAAAAAAATAGTAAATATTTGATAAAGTCCGAGACTAAACCACAAGAATTAAAAAAAATTATGAATAAGTTTAAAGAAGAACATGTTTGATTTTGGTAAAGGTTGAACTGGTTAGAAAATAATTGTAATTAAATTCGAAGGAAATAATTATTGGAAGAATGATCATTTAACTTCAGAAGCTAAATAAGATGGAAGAAGTGTTAAGGTGGGCGCACAAGAGTTGATATCATTGAAAATGATAACACCTTACTTATGTTCATTAGATAATTATATGAACTTTTGGGCCGCAGCTCTATCGGACTGCACTTCTGAATCATTAAAACCAACCCACAAACTTATAAGGTCTAAAGGACAAAAATAGCATATTGGACAAAAATACCCTTAAAAACGACGGGTATTGTGCACAAGCGCCTTTTTAGTTCATTTAAAACTGAATGACTTGCCATCATTGCTACGCAAGAACCAGCACACTCTCAGTGACAAACCTTCGACGATCATTGATTCTAGGGTTCCAGCGAATCTTTGGAGGTGAAATTTGTCTTCTCGAAAAAAATATGCATGAAAAACTATTCTTCAACATATCATTACAAAATATCAAGATATTAGGGTTTCCATCACTCCAAAAAGAGCTTTTCACGAGATTAGGATTTCCATCACGCAAGAAATAATTTTTCACGATTTAGCTAAATAAAATCTGATTTATTGAATATAAATATTAGTGAAAAAGAAAAATTTTCATTTTTTCTTGTAAAAAAATGATCATGTTCATATTTTGATGTTATTTTTGATTTACTTGTTCTAATCCAATTTATTATTAATTTAAATATTTTGAATATTTTCATATGTTGCAAAAATTGAAGTAAAAAAAAGTTCAAAAATTCAAAATTTTGTTTAATACATTAAAACAATAAAATATATTATATGCAATATTTTACTGTTTAATGGTGCACATGACAATGTGTTGTATTGGAATGTATTGTTAACAAACAACCTTACTATATTTTACTACTAGCGATACCCCTTGACTGAAGTCATTGTATATTAAGTTATGACTCTATGCGTATATTAGAGTATGTATATAATGAGTGTGTGTGTGTATATAAAATGAATGTGTGTTGGAGTGTGTGTAACTGTGTGCTATGGAGTATTTGTGTTGGGTTTGTAAAATTTGGGGGAGAAAGTATGTGATGGGCGTGTGAAATTTGGGAAGAAAATATACTCTTCATAAGTTCAAAAATCTAGCTATCTTATTATATAGATTTTATAATACACAACAGAAATACTTGACTTGTTCATAATTGACATGACAATGTGTTCAACTATAACTTAATTGATTTTGTTTCACTATACCATAATATTCTATTTTTAAACACTTAAAACAGTAAAATGCCAAAGAAACAAGTTTGTCGAACAAACTTCTATAAAATTAGAAAGTTCAAAAAAAAAAAAAAAACAAGAAGCAACAACATCTGTCAGAAAGTGAAGAACTTAAATACCAGAATCAAAAGACAACATGGAAGCTACTTTAAATAGAAAGAGAGAAAGAAATTATGTCCCTCAATTTAGATCAAATATGAGAGCATTATTGAAACTTTTCAAAGAAATCAAAGTGACAGACTATCAACGAAATGCTCTCAAGAGAACACCATCAGTTGGGGGTATGTGCAACTGGTAGATGATGTAGACAACGTGAAAACTTATGCATGGTTCGAAGCAATTGCAAATCTCTTTATGTCTTCCGTGTCAAAGAAATTTGACCAACCATATTCAATTAAATAATGTGTTGTTGCATTGCTAGTGAGTGACATTTATATCACTGTGAATATTATATTTATTGCACTATTTTATGAAATTAATTAACATGCTTTCTAGCTCTTTGTTTTCCAGTATTGGTTGTGTGAACACACAAACATTATTCAAATAGAATGCAATAATGCATTTCCAAGATTCATGAAATGAAACCTCCCAGAACTAGCCAGGGTTTTAACTCTAGAAAAGCTGAATCAACTAACTCTTGACGAAGTAAAAAATTGACTGATGTATATAAATACAAACAACAAGGATTCACATATGTATATAAAAATAAATTCTCATAAGAACTTCATTTCAATGGAAAATATTACAGATTATAGGCGATGAATTGAAAAAAAAAAAGCAATTGAAATAAAGCTTTTTTCAAAAAATGTACTGAATACAGAGGGGCAAACATCAGGAGCTGCAAAAGATACAAAGGAAGGAAAAAAGAAAAAAAGAAAGGCAAAGACAAATAAAAATTGAAAAGGTAACCAAAAGGATGAAGAAGTAGGGAAAAAAACTGAACAAAATTTTGAAAACATTAAAGTTAGAAATAGTGAAAAACAAAAAAAATAAAGATCCAATGAAAGAACAGCAAGAAGAATCCAAAGGGTGAGGAAAAAGAAGAAGATGAAAACTGTAAAGAAGGGTTACATGGCTGCTGAAGAAAGAGAAGTTCCACATAGTGATGAAACAAATATTGAAGAAGCAAATTTAAATGATGATGCATATCTTCCTGATGAAGAAAATTAAATGGACATTGAAGACTTTGATTTTAACAATAACATTCTATTGAATGTGATTACAAGAAATGATATACTCCAACCACCTCTCCTGATGCTGAAAATAGCAAATCAATTCAAACATAAAATCTTGAGGACGTGAAAAATATTTGAGAAGAAGCAAATGTATCAAAAAGTGTAGAAGAGGAAGCAAAAGACAGAATAAAAACAACAGAAATTCCATACATAGAGGAACAGGATACCCCAGAAGGATTGAAAATGATGAAATGCAGCAACTGAAATTAAAGTTGGAAGAAACAGTAAAAGAAAAAGAAACTCTACAAGAAGAAGCAAAATTGGCAAAAGAAATCATATATTCCATAAAGCAAGAAAATGAAATGTTGAAGATAGAGATATTAAAGGGAGAGAAGGTGAATGAAGACAAACAAATGTTGTAACGTCCCAAAATCCACCTTGGACGACATTACAATTTAAAATCATTCACAACATGAGAGCAACTAATAAAGTCCATAAATAAGACAAATTCCATTTATCATACATAATATCTACAACATCATTCAAAAGAATATATCAAACCATGGTATCTACATCTAAAAAGAATATGTCAAACTATGACAATTACATCTCAAAATCAAACTAAATCTTGCAGCAGAATAAATAAAATATCATACATCCATTGTATCACAATACATCTCCTAGTGTATGGCATGGAGAGATCAACTCTAGACATCCCCCTCCGGATCCACGCTTCCATCCATTTGGGCTTCCCAAGTTACCTGCTCATCACCTTCAAATTCTTCCTCTAAACCGAAATCTGAGAATAGATATTGTTTGTAGGGGTGAGCATTAAGTTCTGTAGCAACATCCTTCCAAACTTGAACAAGGTTTAGAAAATATATAAAACAGTTCGGTCTCACTCTAAAATATCATATATAATTTGAAATAAAACTGACAATTTATTCGATCTCAAGTTACCGCAATAACAATAAGTTAAATGAAAGGAATAAACATGTCAGAATTGAAGATATCAATTAATCATTCAAAAGTATCATCCCATATTCTCCTGTATATTGGTTGTTTCTCATGAATCTACATGAAAAATCTACCTCGTTCAGCCATCATATCCACACAAAACAATTTAGGGAGGGCGTATACCATCTCCCACAGCAATAACGAGTCCTTTCAAGGAAAGGTATACCATCCTTCAGTCTCGAACTTACGTGAATAATAGTGGTTACTATCACAAACAACAATACACTACAAGTGTTAGACAACCATCTCACCCTCACTGGGATTGGCTAACCTCTAACACTCTACTGCAGTTCTTGAAGGTAATTAAAGTTCATCACAACAAACCATACAAGAAAGGTAATACCAACCATTTTCTTAAATCACAAGTAATTTCAAAACCCCCAATTTCATAGGTATTTATCCAGCATAACAATTCAAGAAAATAAGCAAGAGATCATCCAAAGATAGGCTTTTATTGTTCAAAGCAAAGCATTAGAGTTTTTAAATCAAGAACAAAAGAATATCAAAAAGAAAAATCCATTTTTCTC